ACTGAGAGAAAGGACATGATGAAATACTCTGGCAGGTCCTTCCTATTTGAGAAGTGCTTGCATTATTAAGTCATATGAATAATTAAATAAGTATTTGCCACCTGCAGGAAACAGAAAGAGAGGTATAATATCAAGGACCTCTCCACACAGAGTGCAAGGAAAAAAAAAAAGAATTCCTGGAAATCATTAGTTCTAATTTGATAAACTGGCACAAATTTATTAATTCCCTATAGTTTTGTTATTGAGAAAGAGCACTTTCTAAAACTTTACTCATTCACTTTGATAGTTATACATTCTTCATATAACATATGTGCTCTTTTTCAATTAACTCTCTTCAACACAAATACACAGAGATATACATATTCACATATACCCATTAAATTTTAAACTTGTAATATGATTTTGGAAATAGATTTTGAGTTATAGAAGAACAAGGTTTTATACTGCTACTGAGTATTCTGCCTTAGGTTAGTCAGTTAATTTTTCATTTAAATTAATTTTTCATTCCCATTTTTGCAAATGTCCAAGTAATGATTGACTAAAATATAAATAAGCAAACAAAGATGCTCTTCTGCAAAATGGAAATGTATTCTGTCTCCAAAGCACCAACCAGAGTTTCTCACCTCATGTAGCATTTTGTCTAAGAAAAATGAGAAACAGACAAAAAGTCCATGTGAAAAAGAAAACATCCAATAAATGTATGTATTTTCTTTTTTCTTTTCTTTTTTTTTAATAACAACAAGATGTATTTAAAAACAGACTTCTCCAGTTGGCATTTTGAATGAAATAACTAACAATTATCTCCAACCCTTTTTATTTGCTTGCTCCTGGAGTCCTCTTGAAGCTTTAATTCTTGAAACTCAGGTGGCAGCACCAGACATTGTATTCCCAAAGGGAGAGGTATTAGTTAACCTTTTGCTGGTCATTCTTGTCTGAATGCAAATGGACAAACTCAAGCCCTCTTATTCATATCATGACGGTTATTAGGAAAAAAAATTAAGTCAAATTTGCATATTGAAAATAAAAATAAAAACACACAAAAAACCCCCTGCAGATAATAAATATTGCCGATTCACTTATATTCAACAAAGTCCAATTTTATTCACTCTTAATATCCTTGCAGTCCATTGTATCCTTTCTGCACTGATCCTTGTTTCAGTAGCTGTTTGATACCTTCTCTTGCTTCCTCTGTTAATTGTTTTGGAAAATCCACATCAAATGTGATTATTAAAGAGCCCTTGATACTGTTGTTGTCAAAGTTAGGGAGCCCTTCCCCCTTTTTCCATAGCTTGGCTCCTGGCCTGGTGATCTTATCCCGGGAAATATGTACCTTGTGACCATCCAAGTGAGTAATATCCATCTCAAAGCCGACTAGAGACTCAACTAGTGAGATTGTCACATTGGTGTACAAATCATCTCCTCTCCTTTCAAATATCCGGTGCTTGACAACTTTGATTCGGAAGCGTAAGTCTCCAGGCTCACCATCCACATGAGGCTCACCTTCTCCAATAAAGGGGTACTCCATGGCATCTCTCACTCCAGGTTCTATTTCTACTTCCAGCGTTCGTTCTTCATTCACTAATTTAACATTAGGACACTCATCGCAGACTACCTCTTGGGTCATCTGGAAGCGACCTGGGCCCAGCTGGGTGGTCCCCATTTCTTGCCGACAGTTGCATTTCCGTTTGCCAGGAGCCTGCCTTGCCACAGGTTTATTTCTAACTACTTCCACATAATTTCCAGCATATACTTCTTCCAAAGTGACTTCTAGATCTACGATAATATCACTTCCTCTTGGAATATTTCTGTCTTGCTGGCGAGGGGTTCCTCCAAACATGAAACCAAAATCTCCAAAAATGTGCGAAAAAATGTCTCCATGGGAGCTCTGATGACCATCTTTCGATCCTTTCTTCACCATATGTATCATATTGTTTCCATTTTTCACTATGTGACAGAACCTCATAAGCAGCACCCAGATCCTGGAATTTCTCCTGGGCTTGGGGATCATCAGGGTTCTGGTCAGGATGAAGCTGCAGGGCTAGTTTCCTGTAGGCCTTCTTAATATCCTTTATAGAGGCACTTCGAGGTACCCCCAGG